GGGGCGGGCCGGGGTGAGGCCGCCGCCCGGGGCTCTTCCAGCGGGGCCGCCCGCTTCTGCGCTTCTGCGCGCGGAGTGTTCTGCAGTGGGAAGTGCTCTCACGCCGGGCGCGGCGCTGTCCGTCTGGAATCCCAGCCCAGCCGAGGGGGCGGCGAGGCGCCGGGGGTCTCAGATCCGAGCCAGGCCGCCGCTGGGCTGCGGAGCTGCGGCCGGAGCAGGGTGCCATCTGTGGGCCTCAGGATAAGGAAGGGCCGGGGTGGAGCGGGGTCTGCAGCAGTACCCAAAATCCAAGCCTAGGGGCGGCACCCAGGCCCTGAGATCAAGTCCCAGGCACAAAAAGAAAACCGGGTGACACCTTTGGGGTGGGTCCTGGTGGCAGTGGGGGTACCTGGAGAAGGTGAAATACGGCCAAAAGTGACTCTGGCTGAGGTTGATTTGGGAAATGGAGGCACAGAGCACAGGAAGACAGACAGGAGGGGAGCGATGCATCTGATCCAGACAGTGTTTGTTCCTAGGGACATGTCAAAACGAAATCCCTTGTCCCACTCACTGAGGCTAACTTTAAACATAGCAGGCGCTGGCTTCCCACGCCTGTAATCCTAATGATTCAGGAGGCTGAGATGTGAGGATCGAGGTTCCAAGCCAGCCCCGGCAGGGAAGTCCATGAGATTAGCCATCAAAAAAGTCAGACGTGGAGCTGTGGCTCACATGTAGAGTGCTAGTGCTGGTCTTGAGCACAAAAGCTCAGGGACAGCACCTGGACCCTAACTTTGAGCCCTGGACCAGCACCAAAAGAAAAAAAAAAGTAAAAATGCAAAAGGGTCTGCAGGCATGGCTCAGGGGGCAGAGCACCTGCCTAGTCAGGGCAAGGCTTTGAGTTCAAACCAAACATTAATTAATTAAAAACTAAAGTAGTGCAGCACCCTGAATCAGACCCTAGAACAGAAAAATACTTACAGTCTGGAGCCTAATAGTAACATCCATGCTTGGTTTTGTGTGTGTGTGTTTTGTTGTTGTTGTTGTTTACTTGTTTAAAGTCTTGAGAAACACACCATGGTTATCCAGAATGGTAAGGCTAGAGAAAAGGAGTCAAAGGGTACATTGGAACTCCTTGGTTTCCATAAATTCTAGAATTCCAAAATACTTTTTTTCCCCAAATCGGTCTGGGCCTGGGCGCTGTCCCTCAGCTCTTCAGCTCAAGGGGAGCATTCTACCACTTGAGCCACAGTGCCATTTCCAGTTTTCTGGCCGCGGTTCATTGGAGATTATAGTCTCACTGATTTTCCTGTCTTGTTGCTTTGAACAGCAGTCCTCAGATCTCAGCCTCCTGAGTAGCTAGAATTACAGGCATGAGCCACCAGCACCAGGCTAAATTTATTTTTAAAATAGCTTAAGAATAAGGTTTAGCCAGACACCAGTGGCTCATGCCTGTAATCCTAGCAGTTCAGGAGGTTGAGATCCCAGGACTGTAGTTCATTCAGACCAGTCAGGAAAATTCATGAGACTCTTACCTCCAGTTACCAAAAAGCCAGAAGTTGAAGTGTGGCTCAAGTGGCGCTGTCCCTCAGCTCTTCAGCTCAAGGCTAGCACTCTACCACTTGAGCCACAGCGCCACTTCCGGCTTTTTTCTTTTTGCTTATGTGGTGCTGAG